CGGGCAGCGGCCGCCGCGGCACTAACGCGCCTGCACGCGCGCCAGCGCCGGCACGGGCTGCACATCTCACCCGCGGGTTAAATAAAGCCCTCTTCTAAACAAAGCGCCCAACCGCCAAGGGCAGGGCAATGTAAAGTTAAATTATGTCTTCTGAGTGAAAAGCCTATTCTATCTCGCCTATGGCATCTTTATCACTTCCAACAACAGTTAAGGTAAATTCTCTGTGGGTCTCTATGGATCGTCTCATGCAAAGAACCAGCCCTTGCAAAGCCTTCAAGTGACTGACGTGTAACACAAAATGAACGCGTCTATCCGCTGTTGTAAAACTGGTTCGCTATTTTATGCAAAGCCCCTGAAATACTGAAACATATCCTTATATAGAAATAGTGATTAAATGGTTTTCCCTCCAAGTGAGGAACTGCTCGAAAAGCAGCGTTTCAGCTATCACGACCAGAAAGCAATTACTTATTTCACTAGCAGTTACTAAGAATAGCGGTGATCAAAGTGGATGTAGGAGTGCTGTTAAAGACACTAAAGAAGGCAACTCTCTTAAGACACACGCACACAGAATAGACATAATTGTAAGCCAAATTAAACTTTCAACAAATATATGCACCATTCACTGTTTGGGATTTTTTTTTCCTTAAACATACAAAATTAAGATCTATGAAACAGATCTTTTAAACGCGTTTTTAGCCCAAGGCGAGCGGGAGCAGCAGTTCCAGGCTGCACACACATACGTGTGAGTGAGGGCACGCATGCATGGCCGAGGGGGGCTGCGTGTTGTGCAGAACGTATATATGTGTTCGAGCCTGCCAAGGTAGAAGTGACAGGAACTGTGATTTGTGCTAACTAGCTATTGATCCAGTCAGATCGAGATGTTGTGTACAAGAAACAATAAAAGAGAAGGGGCCAGGAAGGATGCTGTGTGCAACTCCATTTAAAAATGGAAAAGAAGGGCCCCAAACAAACCAATTTATGTCCTTGCCTGGGTGAAGCATGGAGAATGCTGATGGGCTTCCCAGAGTCTGCTGTGCATGCTAAACACTCCCGCCTCGACCAGCGCGCCCGAGCCGGGCATTAGCCACGAACAAAGGGAGCCACAGTGGGGGCGAGGATTCACGCTTCAGAAAGCCAAAGCTGCAAAGCCAACCAGAACCGGGCTGGGGAATCACCGAGTTTCAAACCACCTTCACCCCCCTTTGATTTTCCTAGCACCTTTCGTAGCTAAATCGCTAAACGCTGAGTGCTATAAAAAGCTGCTCTTTGAGACCAGACATGACGAAAACAATTTTGAACTAGACTAATGGCAGCAAAATGCCAGCTTTGCAAGACGCAAATAATGAGTTAAACTGTGTAAAATAGGCATGTGCTCGTAGAGTACATCAAAAAATTGCCTGTGTGCATGCACATGGTCCGTACCTGCACGTGTATCTATTGTAATACCCGCACACACGAGCAGGCAGCTCAGAAAATACGGCTTTGATAAGATAAAATGGAACCAACCAAATTTATATTCGTCCTTATGTTAAACAGCTTTTTATAATAGAGTGTTTTCTATTAAAATATTTTTCCTGGGCTTAGAGAATTATGATGCCCTCTGGATACATAGGGGGATCAAAAGCAAAAACTAATGCTGAAATTAAACATCTGTCAACTAAGCAAGTTCTATCCCAGCAGACCCAGATCTGATTTTAAATTTCCTTTCCGTTAAAGAAAGAAGAGTGAGAGCCCCTTAGCTCGGTACCGCAGCGCAGCTAGTGCTGTAACGTGCATGGGAGAAGACATGGAAGCGGAGAACTACACTGCTAAGATGCTTCTGAGGTAAAGGAAATCTGTGTAAGAGTTTGGGGCAAAAATGCTGCGAGGCACCGCAGGTTGCGCCCTGCACCCAGCCCTGCCCGCCGGGGCTCTGTGGGAGCCCCTGTTTTCTCCCTACACCTGTCCCTGCCCACCGGGGCTCTGCAGGAGCCCCTTTCCTGGCACCCCACGTCTACCACTCCTTGGGGCTCTGCAGGAGCCTGTTTGCACCTCGCACCCACCCCTGCCTGCCAGGGCTCTGCGGGAGCCCCTGTCCTGGCACCCTCCATCCGTCCCTGCGCATCGGGGCTCTGCAGGAGCCCCCTTTGCGGCTCAGCCCTGCTCTCCCCA